CAATCAGTCGGCGTACAAGTGATAACAAAAGCGTTTAACTACCAATATTTAGCATATGGGAGGGGGGCAGCCATCTTGAATACGACTTGAAACTAAAGAAAGAAACAGATTGAGAAACGCGACTGCTTGGACTAAATCTTCTTTTGCCAGTAACCCCAATCGTCATGGATCTAGAGGCGTATTGAGTACCATTGGTGATTCTTGCTTTGCTATAAAAAGATTAATTGTATAGGTTTCATTGTTGTGTATAAGTTTCACTGTTTATTACTCAGTTAAAAAAATACTGAAGTGATTAGAGCCATTTGTAAATGTTTAAATTGCACTCTCAACGCCTTCATATCGAGAACCGATTCACCCATGTCTGATAGCGCCCTCTAATGCAGAACATCCCTATTGCACTCTATTTTTAATGTTTTGACGCAACCCGTTTTAGAACAGGAGCTCCCTCTAGAATGAAAGGTTCTATTAAATAAATGACAAAAATCAAATAAAAGGAGTGGGGTACCCGAACTTGTTTCCATGAAAAAAAATGACTTTGTCATTTATTCCTCTTTTCGTCTTTAAACTTAGCAATCGGTCGCCGTGAAAATGATACTGAACATTTTCCGTAAAAGTCGCCCTCTAACGGCAAAGTGCTTCAATCTGTAACGTGAAAATGATGTTTGGGGGCAGTGCTTGTGATAACCGCATTTCTACGTGGGCTGTACTGACATGTAATGTTAGGTAAATATCACCAGTACACAGCTATCTGTGGACGAGCTTCATGCATTCTGAGAATGTACATTTTTTAAAAAGTTTTTCTTTTTTCCTAATTGCTGAATAGTTGGATGTATGTCAATCTAAGAGTAGCTTTTCTGCCAATAGTAAGTAAACATAGTTTATAACCATACAGAATGATTGATAGATTACTTATGAAATCCACGTGGAATTGATGAAAGAAATATGCATATTAGCTGCCAGGTGATGAGGGCGAGTACTTATGCTTGTGTTTATATATTACACAAAGTTTTACAACAATTTAAACACCGTACTTTGAGATAAATTTGACATTCTGATCATATATTACGTTTAAGTGAAATCAATGTTCAATAGCATAAATAAAAAATATAGGTAATTTATAAAGCTGTGTGTGGTAAGAGAAATCTTCAATTCATTTTCGTCATCGCGTCTACGGTATTTGAAACAGCGAACGCAATGACGTGAGAAATGGAACAGTACTTGAGGGGCAAAAGCAAGTCTCGGGCCTTTCTCGCGTCCAACGAGATTTCGTCGGCCATTTGCGTGTAAGGTCTATTGGCGGATGACAGAAAACGAAACAGCGATAAATGAATAACAAGTCCATACTGGCTGCAGCTGGCTGCCTCTTTCAAAGGATCGGTCACTTTTAATTCAACTTTTCGCCTTTATAATAAGGCTTCGTCAGAAACTAGTTATATATGACACGGTGATGATGAATGGTCTTAAATGGAGAGTATTAGTTCATTACATGTTTACGCTAAAGCTTGCAACCCCGGAGAGCATTTCTTTTATCCTATACAAACAATGCTTTCTACCGTTTCTAAAAGGTTATCTGCATTATTTATTTATACATTAGATTCCGTCCTTGCAAATAAATCCCAGATTATACGACGTTTTGTTAAATAACAAGGTTATCTTATAATATGAATAATGAAAGTGTGCTTTTGGGAATTATTATGGTTCATTTGTATCGCATTATTGATGTATGTAAATCGATAAATTGACAGCCGTACATTATGCCGATATACAGGCCAACTTGGCGAATAACCATGAACGAATCGAAATCCGGAAAGTGCCGCCTGTGAAATTATTTATATGAATTGTTTTTTCAAGGTACATGTTAACACATATTTTATGTAAGAATTCTACAATTTCCATTTATGTTATATATGATTTTTTTAATTAATAATATTATACTTCGGCTAAGTGGATGACAGCGCGAATAGACAACCTGCGACCGAGCTGCAGCTCGCAATTTCTTGCATGATTAATAAGAGACAAGCCGTGTTTTTTACTCGCTATAATTTCCCACTGCAAACTTTTAAAGCAGCTGGTCCGAAGGTTTGAGCGTGTTGTTGAGAAGTGAAGTAGTGACAACTTGACACCCGTTTATTTATTTATATATAACTGCACTCACTAATTACATTTTTTATTCAAGGAGAAAGGGAAAGTTAATTTTATGCAATGTATTCCTTATTTGTATATAGTGTATCTGCGGTACAATTGTGTTCTCTCGGTCTTGTATACATACATTGAAATGCTTAATGGTTATTTACAATACATTTGGCAAGTATGTTATATATGTTCGCATATACAAGTCTTAGAAACGCATTACAAGTTTTGAAAAAATCGAATATTGGGTAAATAAAAAGTGCAGATGGTTGGTTGAAATCTTATTATTTGAAGTATTTATACATTTATGTACAACACGCTAATGTTTTAATTGTAAAAACATGATTCAGATTCATGAACCACGGAACTATTTAACTTTCAAGTAATTTGACTGTCACACGCAACGTAATATTACCGTAATTGGTATAGTACAGGTGTGATGGTTCAAATACCAAAATGGCAACAGTAACAAAAAGACTTCCCTGGCGGCGATGATAAAATACGAACACGGAGCCAACAGATGAGGTTTCAACTGGTACTGGTATTATTATACTCTGCAAACATCAAGTACAATAACGCGGTAAAACTCCACTACTCCAATAACTAGATACTTAAACTCCAATACAATTCAACGAGATCTCCGATCTGAACTCAGTGCTGAACAACTTCCCTATATATACCTCCACTGTCTATAAATAGACCATTACATCAGCATACATAATGAGTCTGGCACTTACTACAAATTTCTAGAATGTTCCATTACCTTCTATTGCCTCCTACAGTGTTCTATTACCTACTCAACCAGTTTTCAAAAAAAATCTAGAATATTCCACCCAGACACAGTACGGTTCTAGAACATTCTCAGTGACACGGAAGTGGTAAATAAGTCGTATGCGACATTGACACATGTTTATATTATATATACTACGTCCGTTTTATATATGTGTATGCGAACAATTTTCACTCACTCGCGCCCGCATTGTATGCATATACTACACCAATAAGGCTGAGTATGTTTCATTAACAGCTAGCGGTACGTTGTTTGTGCCATACATTTATTATTTACGGCAAAAAATATCAAGAAACCAACTTGGCCAACCATTGTGAAGCTGGTACGCAATAGCAGCCGCCAATAGACAACTGCCGTAAAATACCATTTTGCCATTTAGAAGGCAATAGTGCACAGTAGCGTGTTTTATTTAACCATACATCAGTTATTTGAAACGTATATAATTCCCAATTTAAACCAATTTATAAGAATTATTATAATTAGGAATTATAATACAACGCGCTGCAACGACGCAGTTTTCATTGACTAATCGTTGGCAAAAATCAAAACATTATTTTGTTGACATAGAGATGCATGAACAAATAAAACGCACGTCTTTGTAGTTGTTGCCTTTCAAAGATACAACACGCCAAGACGTCACTACAATGAACAATTTACGTCTGAAGCAAAATAAAAAAAGGAGAACGAGCAAAAAAACAGACCAATTTAATTTTATCAGTTGATATTCGCACTGAATTATACGACTACAGACCACAGTCAGCTGGCGCACACGTGATAATAGAATAAATACGATATTTACTATATGGGGGCCGCCATCTTGAATGACGCATAAAACTAAATAAGAGACAAGTTGTGAAACGCGTTTTTTAGATTCCTACAAATCAGGACAAAAATACCAATCTTTCACAAAAATACAGTCCGTTGGGATCATAATAAGCCAACCGATAACAAAATTCGGCCTAATTCGTCGTTTTTGTGTGGAAAAATCCCTTGCATACGAACACCTAATTACGCGAAGAACCTAGAACATTAAGCCGGGGTATTTGAAACCGAAATTGTCATCTAAGCGTTAGGCCGTCGCTGATTGGCTGCTGAGCAGGAATGCCAATATTTAGTTTTAAATACCCCCAGGAAAGTACTAATGGTATCTGGCCCATACATATTGTTTAAGACGCTCAAACATTAATAGAAAGAAGGGATAGGGATTATGTTTCTGAAGACTTCAAAACATGTTCTGAATCTAAGGAAAATCACAACCTCTTTCTAATATGAGGTGACGTCATTCAATAAGTTGCCCACCCTGCATACCACCTTACCACCGCCATGCTCCTTTTCACTATAGATAAATATAACAATGTACTTTAAAAGTGTTGATTGTAAATACATTATCTAGTTCAGAAGACATATTTATTAATAAAGTACCGGTGATTCAATTAGAACACATTGAGACTTTTTGTTAGAATACGAATAATCAGGTGAAAATAATAAATTCTGATATGATGTATGGCATTGTTCATCGAAAAGTACTTTTTGTAATTTGGTTATAAGTATCAATGAACATAAATTTAATTTTTAATTTCAATTTAATTCGAAGATATATTCAAAATAAACTGATTGATAAATCCATATAACTGCTTCGCTATGAGCCTAGATTTTTATAAATTGACTCAAATATTTAGTTTACATTGAATCATAAGATGATGACACAAATACCACATATTTCCTGTAGACAGTGGGATTTAAACAAAACAGTTTGTGGGTGCAAACTGATACCCCTTTTTCTCACCCTTGTGATTCATATATCATTCTCTGATTTGTCTATCGAATTTCGACCATAGTATTTATTGCCATGTGTTTATTTTTTTCGCACACCGGTTTGACTATTAGGTCCGAAGTTTGATTAATTCAGTTCTTAAACAGGGGTACCAATGAAAGTGTAGCTTTTTAATGAAAATCACAGTTTTGACACCGTGCAGCATAGCTTGGTCAAGAAAAGCTTAGCTGCAGGAATGAAATCTGCTAGTTTTGACTTCGAGAACTCAAGCTTTGAACATATTTTGATGTTGAGGGCGTACACAACATGGCTGCCTCCAAAAGCAGTGTTAGCGACGGTAAGTATTTTACTCGTTTTCTAAACAAAATCACCAAGTTATGCTGTGTAATATGCCGCAATCAGTGAAGTTCAGGTTCAATTTCATTTCTAGAAAGTTTCAGCCACCATTTCACGAAACTTGCAGAGAAATCTCA